ATCTAACCTAATGTTAGCTTTCACATGATGCACAGTTTGAGGAAAGCTGATGTATGTAGTTGTGCAAAAATGATTTTTGTTTCCAAATCTGATTGTTATGTGCCATTATTTATAGAATTTGTTTTGGAACCAACTCTATACTACTATGCCCTATGAGCAAAAAACTGAATTGACCTTTAATGATTAATTTGTATAGTTTATAATCTGATTTGCTACAAAACTAATTTTTCTACTTTCAATCTGAAAGCTATATAAATTGTTGACATTAATTAATCCTATCCTGACTTTTTTTCCTTCCAATTTTGCATGGTAAATTAATCCTTTTAATAATAACTTTTGTGCATTGCTTATAAAGTTTTTCCATTAAAAACTTTGGGTGTTAAGTGGTACATATAAATCTATATTTGGTTTAATTGAAAATAAACATGTTGGAACTGGTCTTTATGTAAACTGGACTTTGTTAGTTTACCTGGTTTAAGCATGATATTAATGAGATCAGTGTTCTTGCTCGGATCCAAGTGAAGTCTAATTAACTTTGTTATGTTTCACAGCCACAGACTTTACTCCTAAACCCCAGCCAATCAACTAATAAATAGATAGTGTATGCTTCTATTATTGTTTCAAGGGAGTGCAGATGGTTCAGTGCAAATCCATCACCATTATGGAAGAAACAACTTAAATCACAAGTTCTACTGACTGAGCAAATAGCTTCATTTTCATGTACAAAAAACACCTGAGACAGGGCCTGGCACATAGTAGGCACTTAAGATTGACTGAATACAGGCACACTGAGAAACACTGGGAGACCAGTGAAGTAGTCTTAACTGTTCTAGATTTCAGTATGGAATTATGGAAGAAGATTGACTAAACTATTCACATGCTTTGATTCAGCAAACCCACTACTGGATAAAACCCCAAATATGCCAAAAAGCAAAACAAAGGTACAATAAATATATTCCAAAATATTCATATCTGCTCTGTTATATTAAAGAGATGGGTATAAACTTAAGTGCCTACCAGCTGGGGAATGGCTTGAAAAAACTTTGGCATATTACTCTAATGGAATTTTAGTATGTCATAAGAAATAATGAACATGAAGAATTAAAAGAAATTAAAAGAAATATGTGAGATCTGTATAAATTGAAGCAAAATAATCAGAACTAAGAAAACAAGATAAGCATGTAAATGACATACTACTATAGTAAGAGGAAGTTGAATCCCAAGTAACAAAAAAGACAATGAAGGCTCTGGAAAAAAAAAAAAAGGTGGGAGAAAAATAGGATAGAGTATTTTCATATGTGGTAATTATACTGGAAACCTATACTTAGTTTTCCTTGAGCACAGGAGGGTTCAAGGAAATTTGGAGTGAAATGATTGGTATGTGAAGACAAAGCATATCATAAAACATTTCAAAATACTTAAACATTAAAAAATGGTGATTTGAAGTTTGAAAAATGCTATTCCTTGAGAACTCAGTGAAGCATATAATGGAAGTATTTTCATCCCCATCTTGTAGAAAAGGAAACAGAAATTTCTAGAGGCTAAATGACTTGCCTAATATTCCTAGCTACTAAGTGTGAAATCCAACAAATCTCACAAAGCTGTGTCTCAGAGTCAGACAAGTGGTTCCAATTATTTACGTAAGGCAATTTGTTGACTCTGGATTGAAAACTGTATTTCACTTTGAAGTGATGATGGGTCCTATTTAGATTTCTTATCCTGTTCCAAACGTGGTAGTAATAGACTAAGCATACTTCCTGAAATTGTCTCCACTTTATTGATATCTCTTGACTTGACAATCTATTCTTTAGCCTATTCCTTATTCCTATGTCACTAGTTGTTAGGTTTGCTCATTTCATCCTGCAAAACTTAACAGTTGAAAGATATTCCAAAGATCAGTTGCAGCCAACTAATTTCCAGATCTGTTCAGTAACAAAAATTGCTCCAAGCTTTTTTAGCAACTCATCAGAAAAATCCTAAATGTTTCATAGATCCATAGAATCTTCAAACCATCTGGAAGGGATCTCAGGCATCACCTAATTTTACCCTCTATTTGATGATATATGAGTTCCCCCTACAAGAATTCAATGGTTATTGGCCTCCACAAGCAAACCTCTAGTAGCAGAGAACTCCTTACTGTCTGAAATAGACCATTCTATTCATGGACATTTTTAATTAGTGGGAAGTAATTTCCAATATTAAGCCAAAATCAATCTCCCTGTAACTTCAATCCATTGGTCCTGGTTCCATATTTGACTCTAATATTTAAATTTGACTTAATATCTCATCCTTCTTCCACATGATAGCCCCTACCAAATTTAAAGATAGAATTATGTCACTCCTTAAGTTTTCTCTTCTCCAGGCTCATGTCCCTAATTCTTTGACCAATCTGCATATGGCATGATTTCAAGCCCACTCATCTTTTTTATTGCCTACTTTAAACCTAGGAAAGTTTGGTAACATTCTCTTTTAAGAGACCCTAAACACAAAAATCATCTCGTAAGTGCAGAATATACAGTAGGTCTAAAATTCCCCTGATCTGGATATTAATCATCAATGAATGTTGCAAGACATCAGATTCTTTCACAGACACTATACACTACTGACTCTTGTTAAGCTTGAATCATAATAAAAACCTCAATACATTTTTTTTTCACAAGCATTACCATCTTTCTATCACTGTACTGTGCAATTGGATCTTGGAAACTAGGAAGTTTAAATGCATTCCTATTAAATTTCATCTTATTATATTTGGACAATCATTCTGGCCTGTTAAGGTCTATTTAGATTCTATTTCTATCATCCAGGGTGTAAACTATGCATTCTAGTTTTGTGTCATATTTTTGTTTGTCTCATATGTTTGATGACAATGACATTTATCTCCTTATCTAAAACCATTTATAAACATATTGAACAGAATAAATACAAGGCCAGAGACATTTGATCCCAGTCAATGCTGATCTATTAATTAATACTTTTGGAACCTAATAATTCAACCAGACCCAATTGGGACTGGGAATTGGGAGCAGTGGATGGAAACAGAAAAAATATGATTGTAAAGTTGGACTGGACAGACTCTGAAATCCCTCCTAAGTCTGAGATCCTGTGATCCTTTTTAATAACTCCGCTTGTATACTTTGAATAATTTTGTTTGCTAACGGAATGTCTATCTAAAGGAAAAAAAAAGTACCAGTTTAAAACTGCTAGATCAGCTATAATGAGATGTCAGGTCCATTAAAATCAGATGTTAAAAGCCCAACTACATCGTAAAAAAGCATGAGAAATCATTAGTGAGAAATAATGAATGGGTTCCCCTTTACTGGAGTATTCAAACAAAGGCTCAATGGCTTTTTCTTGATTGAATTCTTGTGAATTGTAGAATGAATTCTTATTCAAGTATTAGTTAGACTAGATTGGCCACTGAGGTCCTTTAGAACTCTGAGATTCTTCATTTCTTAAAATCAATTATGAATCCACCTGACTGTACTATGGTGGCACAGTGGATAGTGTGAGGCCTGGAGTTAGGAAGACTCAACCTCCTTAGTTCAAGCTTGTCCTCAGGCACTAGCTGTGAGATGTTGGGCTAGTCACTTAACCCTGTTTGCCTCAATTTCCTCATCTGTAAAATGAGCTGGAAAAGGAAATGGCAAACCACTCCAGTGTCTTTGCAAAGAAAATCCAAATGAGGTCACAAAGAGTCAGACACAACTAAAACAACTAAACAACATCTATACTATATAATATAGGACACATTTATTTGTATTTCTTGCTTACAAGAATATTGTGAGAGAATGTATAAAAAAAAATCTTGCTGAAATCAGATGTTATATTGACCACATTCCAGGCACAAGAGCCTAGTAAAACCATGAACAGAATAAATGAGGTTATTCTGGGATGATTTGTTGATCTACTCTGGCTACTAGTGATCACTGCTTCCCATGCTAAGTGCTAGTGAACAATCTGCTCTAAAATTTTGCCAGGAATTCATGTCAAGCTGACAAATCTATTATTTCCAGACTCGACTTTGCTTGTCTTTTGAATCCCACAACATTTGCTCATTTCCAGTCTTTAGGATATCTCTTTTTCCTCTTGATTCCTGAAAGATGGTCTAGAGCACCTGAACAATCAAATCTGCAATCTTTTTTGGAATCCGAAGATGAAATTTAGACCCAAACTCAATTTAAAAGCACCTGGTCCTCTCTTACCATCTCCTCTCCCATTTTTTTTAAATTATCTTTTATTTACTTATTTTTTATATTATTTTATTTATTTATTATCTATTATTGCCATTTTTTTTTACGATTTTTGTTTTACCTCTTTGAGTCTGAAAATCATTCTCCCTGACACAGAAGTTGAATTGGAGTTAGGTAGTTCTTTTCTTTTTCTTCAAATTTTGCTTTTTCTGTCATCTATTAACATTATATACTCTACTGACCCTAAGACCTACCCTTTCTTTGTTATTCTTGACCCAAACATAGCTTAAAAAGACATTCCTGATTTTCCTAACATTTTCCCCAAACCTAGCTCATTTTTCATTTAGAAGGGTAAAATGTAGACTAAAGAAAACAATACTATTATTTTTTTTCACTCCTCCATAACAATTCCTGGTGACTAAAACAAAACACAGTTCCAGCCAACTCTCACTTTAGCTTAGAGCTTTCCAGTCAAGAAGGTGATCAACTACCATACTTTTAGAAGCTGTAAGAGGGGAAAAGTTGACAGAAAAGCTATGAAATAAGTCCAAGGTGTTTAATATAAGATACAAACATAGCTGGGGAGTAATTTCTGAAGTTATCAAGTGTACACCATTTAATTTTTCATATTATACTTTATTCAGACCAATTACCCTCCCCCATGTACTTTTTTATTACCTCTCTGGATATCTATTGAATAAGGCAGAGAAAAGAAGGCTAAAATAAGGATAGTGTTTGACTGTCACCACGGAAATGGATGTTACCCAGTTTTCATGAACAAAATCCCAGTACACAAACAACACCCACCTGTTTATGAACTTGAGAGCTTCCCTGGTCAACCTCTGAGTGAGATTTTCGTAAGACATTGGCTGTTGGACAACCTCATGGTTCCTCATCAAGATGCAGTTTAAAGGTCGGAAAAAATGAAGGAAACAGGCTAAGAGTCCAATTATAGTGGCTGCTAATAAAAGACAGGAAAAGAATACCCAGTGAGGGAGTCGAAACAGGCCGAGGCAATTGAGCGCCTCCAAAGTGACAAGGGCGATGCCAACAATTTGCAGGGGAATGAAAACGAACATATGAATGGCTGTGGTAAATACGGTGCCTGATCCTGGCTTGCAATCTCTCAAATTGGTCACTGGAAGTCCATAGAAGTGATCAAAACCATGATTTAAAGGGTGGTGACAGAAGTCATCTCTGCTGTTACAGTTTATCCCAAGATGCCACTTTCCTACGGAAAGAGAAATATATGAGAAACATGTTCTCAGGTAAATTTTCTGAACTTCTTGACTTTGAATACTAAATCCTACCTATATAAATTTAGGTGATTTCTACCTACTGACTAATTGAGTGTTTTAATTCTGAACTTAAACACCAAAAAAAAAGAATTAATACACATGGAAAAACACAAAAAGCTGGTTCTATATAATGCCATAAGACTCTTTTTCTTAGTGCTTGTTTTTTTTAAAGTATACAAGACATTCTATATATTACTTTCAAAACTGTACTGTGTTCCTTTCAAACTTCCTTTTGTTCTCTTCTATGCATTTAGAAAATGTTCCAATGGCCCTCTTTCCTTTTGCATCACAATTGCTAACTGTCCACATGCCCAAAGCTCCATAGTACAAAATTAAACATTTATATCCCACATATCTAGGGTTTAAAAAACTTATTTCTATAGGCAAAAAGACTTGATTTGGTCTTTATAGCCCATTAATCATCTTTATTAAGTCACTGTATGTCATATAGGCAGTTCCTGATAGGTGGCACACAGTTTCCTGAAGAATTTTCTTTAAATCAGTTTCTTTATATTCGTGCTCATTTCCCTGTTCTAATTTTATGCAAAAAAAAAAAAATGAAAAAGGACCCAACACATAATATCATTGAATGATACAGTAAATATTTTAAAAGATATATTTGAAAGACAAAGGACAAATTTTTGTTTTTTAAATAAAGTTAATGCTGCCATCCAAAAGTAGCAAGAAAAAAAAAACTTACCTATCTTAAAGAAAGAAAGTGGGATGGAGAATCTGAATTCTCTGGCTTTTGCCACATATTAGCTATGTGACCTTGGACAAATCCCTTAATCCCTCTTGCCCCCAGTTTCCTCAAATGTAAAATAAGAGGTTTGAACTAGATGACCTTTAAGACTCTTTCCAGCTCTAAGTTGATACATTCATGGTAGGATGCCACATTGTAGGAAAATCATTCTGGATGAATGAGTAGTGGCCAACATTTCACTCCACTTAGGTTAGGCCAACACAAGCCAAACAACAGTGTTCTCTTTTCAAAAGAACAACACATAATATGAAGCAAATGTGACATGCAAAATGTATTTTCCATAAAAACACGTACTTGATCAGTTTTAGAAATAAAGGTGGAAGTAATAATATTTAATCATGTGTTGTATGAAATATTTACTTCAACAGTTCACAAACAGAACAACAAAATAAAACTGTGATTTCATTGTTGTAAATAATTCTTCAGAACCATGAGGCATTGCGGTCAAAATAATTTCTTACCTTATTGCCAAACTTCTAGGGATAAGACTGTAAATTTTTCTAAGTTTGTGTGCAGGTGAGAGACATATAGTCTGTTGCCTGGTCCTTACTTGAAACCTTTCCAACTTGGTAGGCCTTTCTACATCTGGTGATCTACTGGCTTAACCTTTAAGAGCCTAAATCCTACCTGAAGTAGAACTTCTTCAATAGAGGATGAGTTTATACAAACATATATAGGTATGAAAAAAATTTGTTACGTGTGTATACATATGTAATGCACAAACATAAATGTCCATTTAGAATTTGCACAAATTTCATAGGATTATATATTTAGAGCTAAGAAGGACCTTAGTGGTCATCTAATCCAAGTCTTTCCTTTTCAGATTCAGAAACTGAGGCTCAGGGAATTTGAGTAATTTACTCAATACCACATAGTTAAGTTTCAAAATCAAAGTCTGAACACCGCTCCTCCAAAACTGAAACCCCAGACTGTCATCCTTTCTATAAAAGTAATAAATACTGCTTTCAGAATTTATCTTAAATTGTCTCTGACTCTCACACACACTTTCACTTGTCCTTGTAAAACATTCTCATCCCCTTTCCCCATCCCACACTTATATGGAGTCTAACACACAACAAGCATTTAATAAATTTTTGTGAATTGACTTCTCTGTTAAGTTCCTTCTTTTTTCTATAATCTTAAGTTCCTTCCCTTCCCCACATTTCTCTCAGCTGTCTCTACCTATCAGGGCTGTAGAATAGCCTTGGCTCTTCAAAAGCTTGGCAAAAGTGATTTCATTTGCAGGCAGTCCACCTGAGGAAGCTGAAAATAGGAACACTCCAACCTTAGAGCGTGAAGCCATCCCTGGACCAGGTGAAAAAAAAAAAAAAAGAAAAGAAAGTAGAACATTAGTGAGAGATGCCTTCTAGCAAGAAGAAAATGAACAATAATAATTTTAAAATGGATTTTACCTGATCGGATAGGGTAACGGCCTGTCAGGAAAGCTGCTCTACTTGGGGTACACAGTGGAGATGCAGCTAAGTGCTGAGTAAATTTCACTCCTCCTTTGGCTATCCTGTCAATATTAGGAGTTCTAGGGGAAGGAGAAGAATAATTTTATTTTAACTGCCATAAAACTAAAGCTTTAATTATAATAATGGCTAGCATTTATATAGCACTTAAAAGTTTGCAAAGCATTTTATATATGTTACCTCAATTGATTTGTACAACTCTTAAGAGTTAGGTGCTATTATTAATCCTATTTTACCAGTATGTCTGAGACAGGATTTGAACTAAAGTCTTACTGACCCTGAGTTTAGCACTGGAACCACTGTGCCACATAGTTGCCCCATTATATGTTTTATAATTAATGTTCATATTTCTAATTAATATTTACCTTCTGCTACATAAAATATAGATATTAATAATGGACTGTTATTATTTTTTGTGTCTGTATATACAGGAGTCACAGAAGTCTTTGTTTTAATTTGGTGCTCTTTTGTAAATACACTACCAAGATGCTACACAATAAAATCTAAGCATTCATGGTGCCATTTCTCTGAAAAGTAACATTCCAATAGCCTTCTGATGGATGAACTGGATATTCAAACCTACCTAACATTTCACCCCCTTCACTCCTCTTCACTCATAATTTTGCAAGTATCACTTTGATATAATACCCTCACAGAAGACTACTACAGTCATTCAGTTGATTCTTTGCCTGAATTATTGTTGCTTCTTCCCAGTATTGTTTGGCTTAGACTGCAAGGTCTAAGAGGGCAAAATCTATATCTGCTAACTCTGAAACTTACAGTATTTGCAATACCCCATGAGAGGGGAAGAAATGAGCAGTGAACTAACACTGTGAAGAAAAACTTGTGAATTTGAAAGTCAGAGGAAGCAGAGAAATTAGATTAATCCTGAAGTGTAATTTTTCTCATCGTAAAGTCTTTCTTTCCTGGGAACTTCCATATGGTTACGGGAAGTGGGGTAGGGACTGCCAGTCTTTTCTTTCCTTATTAAGAGTCTGATTATGACTAATGATGATAGTTCGATGTCCTTAAAAAGCAGAGAGCAGGGGCATCACATGTTTTTATTTTTGGATTAATTGAATATCAAGGAAATGTAAGGGGGAAAATCAAGCAAAAAAAAAATACCTGATATAGATGAGCTAGAGAAATGAGATTTCCAATACAAAGAAAATGTATGTTATAAATGTTAAAAACACCCTAGACAGACTCTAAATCAAACTAGAGAAGGTATAAAACACTGATATGCAATTCAATGAAAACTGAAAGAAAGGGGAGTGGCATATCCCAAGTATATATATGGAAAGAATTTCCAACATTTAAAAGTTTTCTTTCAAGTATATGTTTTAAATGAGGAAGGCATTTGTAATCATGTAGCAAGTTTTAAAAAACAAAATTTATTTATTTTTACATTAACTATGGGGCACAATTTTTGAACTACCAAAATTATTCTCATTAGAAGTCCAACTTGGTTTCCTTGTCTTAAGTCTTGCCATCCTCAAGTCTATTCTCCACTCAGTTGCCAATGCCAAAATGATATTAATACTAAAGCATAGGTCTAACCATGTCACTCCCTTGCCCATACTCCAGTGGCTTATTTATAGAATCAAAAGCATTTTAATGGGGGAAAATAATGAAGAGGTTGTCTGAGTGAAATGAAAAAGTCAGTATCTATAATCACTTGATAACAAATTTACTAGTTCACATGTCAGAAAAAGAGTAGATCCAAATATTTATTATTCATAGTTTACTTTGGAAAATTCTAATGAAAAGAAATAATATTTTGTAATCTACAGCAATTTATTTTTATTGCTTCATATTTGTGATAGTTCTCCATGGAACTTTTATATAATCATTTCCTTACAAGCAGATAAAGAAGCCTGAAAACCAATATTTTAGTGTAATAAGGATTAACTTTCTTTTAGTTTAAAGAATAAGGCAGATGCTCTTATTTTAGATCAATTTATTCTACTGAAACCTTGGAAACAGGATATGTATGCTGTATTTCTAAGGTTGTAATGCAAAATACATGATACTAAAGACTTACCTCTACCATATCCCTTTCCCAGTTCTGATTCTATGGCTTGCTGGCCCTTTGAAAAGATGGTAGTATAACACCCTCACTGTTTGTCAGTGAAAAGTAGTAGGGGTTGCAGGAAGGGGAAAAAGGAGCAGACATGTAGGGTAAGAGCTGAATGGGACCATCTAGCAATGTGGCACTGCCAGACACCCCAAATTTTAAAAATAAAAAATGGCAGGAGATGTTGGATGGGGAAGACATGGAAAAAATAGGGGAAAAGGAAGATAAAAGGAAAGAAAAAAAGGCAAAGGAGATACTTTTTAGATTTTTTTTCCCTTCCACATATTATACAACAACACAGTAACAGTAGAATGAATAATGGCAAGTAGAAAAGCTTCCTTTAGGATTCTTCATACATATGTAAATTATATATACATATATGTATATATTTACATATATATGTATATGCACTCATAGTTTTTGCTAAGCATATTCAAACTCCAATATACACATTTGTATTTAAATATATCCAAATACATATCTACATACATAAAGACAAATCGAAGAGCATTATTGTTATGTTATTGTTACATATAATAGATGTGACCTATACTTCATGGTTCTGAGAACATTTAAAAATTACTAAGGAAGAAATATATTGAATATATATGTATATAAGCACAATCACTTATACAGAACTTCTATTATTAAACCTTAGTGTTGTGTTTCCATAGCATCCAGGATCTCCAATGCCAAGGTCGTCTGCCATTGCTATAATAATGTTGGGCTTTGAAACTGCGTCGCTGCTGACACTGCCATAGAACAACATCAGAAGTAAAAGCATCTTCATCTTCCTGTGAAGAGTAAATAAATAAAAGCAGAATAAAGAATGAGAGCATGTTTTTTCTTCACTAACTCTACTTTAATTCTTTCCAGCTAAGGAAGAAGAGCATTGAAACAGAAAAAAAATTCCCAGCTTCTCAGCTGATGATCATATCTGCTTCAAGGAGACACTGTCAGAGTTGATGTTGACCTCTCCTCTGAGTGTTTGTCTTCTGAATATATATTTTGCTTTTGGTGAAAACCAATGATCTCCTGTTTCTATTCTTGACAAATGAAAGAGACATTACTCTTTAGGGGAAAAAAAGTAAAAGCTCGCCTATCATCTTCTTGGTATTGAAAACCAGTGATTTGATGACATAAAATAAGTGTTATTCCTGATCAATGGAAAAACAAATATTTTATTAAGGAGAGATATTTCCATCCAGGTCTTTAATAGAGAACCTGGAACTACTGTATTGCTCCTCTTTTCCCAAATAGATAAACATAAACATGTCAATCATGAAAATCTTTCAATATTCAGGGTAAACTAATTTCATAATATATGATGGAGAATTCAGTTTGATAATGATATAGCAAAGTCAATGCACCAAGGAAAGCTCTGCTAAATAGGACAAATCAGCTCCTACCAGTAGAATGTAAGCTTCATGAGGGATGGGAGTCTCTTAGTCCTATCACCAACTGCCTATTTGACATCCCACAGGCATCTCAAACTCATTATGTGCAAAATAGAATTATCATTCCTCCAAAATTCATCCTTCTTCCCAATTTCCCTGTCTCTGTCAAGAGTACCACCATCTTTCCAGTCACCTAAGTTCACAACCTAGCAGTCATACTTTACTCCTCATTTCTTTTCACTCGAGATATCCAATCAGCTGCTAAAGCTTGTCAATTTTCTCTCCATGACTTCTCATATATGTACCATTCTTTCCACTCACATGCTTATCCAAGTTCAGGCCCTTATTACGTTTCTATTGAAACAATCCAAATTGGAGTTCAAATTGCTTTCCTTGTCTCATCTCTCCTCTCTCCCACCTGTCCTACTATACTCAGTCACAAGCACCAAAGCGCTATTCCTAAAGACAGGTCTGACCATGTCATTCCCTATCTAAACTCAAGTGATTCACTTCTGGAATTATGATTCTAAAAACTCCTTTCATTGACAGGTAGTCCTTCATAATGTGGCTCCAATATACCTCCTTAGCCTTACTATACAATACCCCTTGGCCATATTCTCTGCCCTACTCAAAATGGACTTTGTGCTGTTCTTCATACATGACACTCTATCACCTGTCTCAATAGAAAGATATGGATTGTCCTTCATTCCTAGAATATGTTCACTACTAGCCTCTGCCTCTGAGAATCCTTTGTTTCTTTCAAAGCTCAGCTGAAATGTTATCTCCTACATCAGATGTTACCAGATAACTACTGGTGTTAGTGCTTCCTACCTAAAAATGAAGTTATATTTGTTTTACAAATACATGTTAGGTACTTTCAATATGAGTATATATATTGCATGGTGTTCCCCCCCATATAATGCTGGCTTCTTCAGGACAGAAACTATTACATTTTTGTCTTTGTATCTCTAATGCCTGTTATATTGTAGAAGCTTAAGAAATGCTTGCTGATTGATTGATTGATTGTATCCCCAGAATTTAGCCTGGCACCTGACACTTAGTAGTCACTTAATCAATGTTCATTGATTGACTGATCACAACACATATTTACCAGTATAAAATGTTATGACATTTTGTTCCTAGAACTTTTCAAATATAATCTGTGACCTTATTCAAATACAGAGAAGCAAAAAGGATATTCCTCTCCTCCCACTCCCCAGCCCCAGATCCAGTATTTTTTTATTTATACACATAGATATATATGTATATGTACATATGCCAAATACATGTCTATATGCAAATGTATTATATATGTATTGTGTATGTATATATAAGGGTCTAGAGAAAGTTAGGATCACAACAGTAATTATGATCTGGTAAATATTAACAACCAGTTGGAGGGGAGGGGAGAAATGTATCCATGGCATACTTTAAATTTCAATTTGCATTATTAACATTTTCAACATTACTTTCTTAAGTCTATGCAAACAACAAAACAATAAAGAAAAAACTACTTGAAATAATAAACAACTTTAGCAAAGTCGCAGGCTATAAAATAAACCTAAAAAAATCATTGGCATTTCTATATATTACCAACAAAACCCAATAGCAAGAGATAGAAAGAGAAATTCCATTTAAACTTTCTGTAGATATTATAAAATATCTAGGAGTCTACCTGCGAAGACAAACTCAGGAACTATTGCGGGCCGCTCTTAAGAGTCCGATATGGGTTTAAGATCCAGGGCAGGAGATGGGGGGGGGCGGAGCCAAAATGGTGGCGTGAAAGACCTGACTTGCTTGAGCTCTCCCCCAAACCCCTCCAAATATTCATAAAAATGGCTCTAAACAAATTTTGAAGCAGCAGAACCCACAAAAAAACAGAGCGAAACAAATTTCCATCCCAGGACAACCTGGATGATTGATCAGAAAGGTGTATCATGCCAGGCTGGGAGTGCAGCATAGGCACCCAGGCCGCAGCAAATCTGGAGCAGGCCTCAGAAGACTGAATCGCTGGCAGCTGTGGAGGTTTCCAGACTCCTCAATCCACCAATGCCAAAGACAACTTAGAAGGTCAGTGGGAAAACTCTGTTTCTGTCCGTGCTCAGAGAGGAAGGCGGGGTTTCAGCTCTATTCCCCAAGACCGTGGCCCTGGGGGGGAGGGGGCAGCTGCTTCCCGACCTTCTGGCCCACAGACTGAGGGGGAGTCCAGTGGCTGATCAGAGAGGGATTTCAGGGATCTCTTTGCCAGTGCTGAGACAGGAATCTCTTGCTTTGCCCCTGTGTGGATCTGGGTCACAGTTCTGGGCCGCGTTGCGGGGGTGAGGAAGAGTGCTGGCGTGGTGGAGCTTGTAGTGGCTGTGCAGAGGAACCCCTCCTCACTGTTACAGGACAGAAAAGAGTACTTGTGGTCATAGGCCAGGAAAGGAGTAAACACCTCGCCCCTTATCATACCACCTTGGAAGAACTGAAAATTTACAGGTCCCTACAAGTATCTCTGAAAACAGCTATACAAATCCCTGAAGCTTGGGACAGTACACTCTCCACATTGGAAGCAGACTTTTGGGGCAGGTAGATGGCGCAGTGGATAGAGCACCAGCCCTGGATTCAAGATGACCTGAGTTCAAATCCGACCTCAGACACATAATACGTATTAGCTGTGTGACCCTAGGCAAGTCACTTAACCCCATTGCCTAGCCAAAAGGAAAAAAAAAAAGAATGGAAGCAGACTCTTACCTTAACAAAGAGTAAAACTCAAGTAATTGGCTGGGATCATGAGCAAGCAGCACAAAAAGATTCAGACTATATTATCTTACTTTGGTGAAAAAGAAGATCAAAATATACAACCAGAAGAAGACAACAAAATCAAAGCTCCTACATCCAAAGCATCCAAGAAAAATATGAATCAGTCCCAGGCCACGGAAGAGATCAAAAGGGATTTTGAGAAGCAAGTAAGGGAAGCAGAGGAAAAACTGGGAAGAGAAATGAGAGTGATGCAAGAAAATCATGAAAAAAAGGTCAACAGCTTGCTAAAGGAGACCCCAAAAAATACTGAAGAAAATAACACCTTAAAAAATAGCCTAACCCAAATGGCAAAAGAGGTCCAAAAAGCCAATGAGGAGAAACATGCCCTAAAAAGAAAAATTGGCCAAATGGAAAAGGAAGTCCGAAAGATTACTGAAGAAAATACTTCCTCAAAAATTAGAAGAGAGCAATTGGAATCTAGTGACTTTATGAGAAATCATGACACAGTAGAACAAATCCAAAAGACTGAAAAATTAGAAAACAATGTGAAATATCTCATTGGAAAAACAGCTGACCTGGAATATAGATCCAGGAGAGAGAATTTAAAAATTATTGGACTATCTGAAAGCCATGATCAAAAAAAGAGCCTAGACATCATCTTTCAAGAAATTATCAAGGAAAACTGCCCTGATATAGTAGAACCAGAGGGCAAAATAGAAACTGAAAGAATCCACAGATCTCTTCCTGAAAGAGATCCCCAAAGGAAAACTCCTAGGAATATTGTAGCCAAATTTCAGAGTTCCCAGGTCAAGAAGAAAATATTACAAGCTGCCAGGAGGAAACAATTCAAGTACTGTGGAAACACAATCAGGATAACACAAGATTTAGCAGCTTCTACATTAAAGGACCACAGGGCATGCAATATAAAATTCTGGAGGGCAAAGGAGATAGGATTACAACCAAGAATCACCTACTCAGCAAAACTGAGTATAATCCTTCAGGGGAAAAAATGGCTATTCAGTGAAATAAAGGACTTTCAAGCATTCTTGATGAAAAGACCAGAGCTAAAGAAAATTTGACTTTCAAATACAGACTCCGTGGAACATGAAGAGGTAAACAGGAAAGAGAAATCATAAGAGACTTATTAAGATTGAACTGTTTACATTCCTGCATGGAAAGATGATATTTGTAACTCATGAGAACTTTGTCAGTATTAGGGTAGTTGAAGGAAAAAAATTATATGCATGTATAGATAGATAGATAGAGGGCACAGGGTGAGTTGAAGATTAAGGGGTCATATCTGGAGAATAAAATTAAGGGATGAGAGAGGATGATACTCAGAGAAGAGGAAAGGGAGAGGTAGAATGGTGTAAATTATCTCACAAAAAAAACAGAAAAGAAAAGTCTCTCATATGGAGGGGAAACAGGGGAAGGTGAGAGGGAATGAGGGAATCTTATTCTCATAGGATTTGGCTTAAGGAGAATAACATACACATTCAATTGGATGGAAATATGTCTTACCTACAGGAAAAGGGGGAGAAGGGGACAAGAGAGCAGGGGGTGACAGAGAGGAGGGCAGATTGGGAAAGGGGTAATCAGAAGTAAATACTTCTGAGGAGGGACAGGACCAAAAGAAAGAATAGAATAAACGGGAG